CCCGCGGAGCAGGGAGCCCGATGCGGGGCTCGATCCCAGGACCCTGGGATCATGACCTGAGCCAAAGGCAGATGCTTAACGACTGAGCCATCCAGGTGCCCCTTAACACACCATTTGTTTTAACAGAGGGAGTTTTTTTATTTTATTATTTTTTAAAGATTTTATTTATTTCTTTATTTGACAGAGAGAGAGAGAGAGAGCAGGAACACAAGCAGGGGGAGTAGGAGAGGGAGAAGCAGGCTTCCTGCTGAGCAGGGAGCCCGATGCGGGGCTCGATCCCAGAACCCTGGGATCATGACCCGAGCCGAAGGCAGATGCTTAATGACTGAGCCACCCAGGTGCCCCTAACAGGGAATTTTAATGTAAATCATTTAACCAGTTATTGAAGGAGGAGAAAAGTATAGAAAGAATTGTAAGGTGTCATGGCAGTAAGGACTGCAGGGAATAGTATCTACTCCTAGAGCTATGGGAACAAAGGGAAGAGATTGGAATTAAGACAGTTAGAAACTGAGGAGGGCATGAGACCCAGACCCCTGAGGAGAGGCCACTGCTGGATGGTGCTGGGGTGTCTGAGGGGGACATGATGAATCTGGTTCTGCACATGTTGGAAAAGCTGCAAACTGGATTCAGTTACTGCTAAGGAAGACCTTGATAATGCATGACTGTTTTCGCCTAGGCATGAACGTGAGGTGCAGGTGAGGCATTTTGGAGGCATGTGTCTGTAGTCTTTGTGGGGTGTTTGGTGGTACTACTGTGCTCTTTTCTAAGCTTGCTGCCAGTGTTTTGAGGCAGGCTGTCTCTTGACCAACATCCAATGTTTGCCTCCTCCTTTGAGGTCTGTCTTTTAGTTCTAGTTCTCAGCTTCCTGCTGAATGGATGCTTAGGTGATGCACACTCTAAAGAGAGTGTGCAGGGCACCTGGCTGGCTCAGTCGGAAGAGCATGTGACTTTTGATCTCGGGGTCATGAGTTCGAGCTCCATGTTGGCTGTAGAGATTACTAAAAAAAGAAATAAACTTAAAAAAAAAAAAGCGATTTTGCAATGACATTGTGGATGTTGGAACAGCGGCCTACGGGTTACCGAATGGATCAGGCCTGGTACTCATGTGATTCTTGTGGGATGTGTCTGGTTCTGTCCGTTCATCCTTGAAATCACATGGTTTCAAGTTTGCCACAGTTCACATGTACGTGAACACTCCTCCCTTTGCTCCGTGCCCTTACCTGACCTTGTCCTGTTGCTGGTCCCTCCAGTGGCCCCACGTGAGAGAGGGTAGAGGGTCTGGCCCTTACTTTCTCTGTGTGGCCTCGGAGATGATCGCTGTGATTCTGTCCTGAAGTTCAGAAGCCAGATGTCTCAAACTTTTTCCTTGGCTGTCAATGTCAAGGTGTGTGTGGCAGTCCCCAAGACCACCCTTAGTCTTAATGATTTGCTGAAAGGAGTCACAGAATTCAACAAGGCTGTTATACTCATGATTATAGTTGATTACAGTGAAAAGATACATATTAAAATCAGCAATGGAAAAAGGTGCATAGTCTGGGAGATAGTGGCCATGAGCTTCCACATGTCCTTTCCCAGGGTAGTCATGTGGACACTGCTTAATTCTCATAGCAGTGATACATGACAGTGCAGCAATCAGGGATGCTTTCCTGAGCTTTGGTGGGCAGGGTTTCTTCTAGTGAGGGTCAGTCACATAAGCATGGAGCATACTGACTTTAGTTACTCAATCTCAACTCCTCCCAGAGGTCAGATTGGTACAGTGTGGCCCAGGGTCACCACTATAACTCACATTGTTAGCATGAAGTATCTGGTTTGGCCCAAGTCCTTAGGTAAACAAAGACAGCTTTAACAGGCAGAATATTCCAAGGGCTTAGAGGTTACCTCTTAGGAGCACGTCAAGGGCCAAACTTTTGGAACCTGCAGGGTTTGGACAACCCAGGGCTGCTGAGTCAGCCCTTTACTGAATATCTGGCTGCAGCCAAAGGAAGGTTCTCACCACCTTTCCTTGGAGGGTCACTTCAGCAGCTGTGCCCAGCCTCTTCCCACCTCCCTTCACCCTCAGATTTGGCCCAGGAGCCTGCCCTGCAGCTTCCTTCAGCTCCTGGTTTTGAGGGTGGGGTATCCCCAGGCTTGCACTGTGTGAATAGTAGACTAGGTGCTTGTCCTGAGGTCTCGGGACCCCAGTGCCCAAATCCAAAGGCACAGGGGTGAGACTGGGGCACAGATGGGGTTGCCTGGTCTCGGCTTCTTTTGGGTGTGGCTAAACATTGCTGTCAGGAAAGCCCAAAACTAGGTTTTTATTCTTGGTACCAGTTCACAATTTAAAACAGCATTTGGTAGGCCCAGAGGACACAACTGTGGGCAGGACTGACCACACTGGCCTGTAATGGGGACTGGGATACCTCTCCTCTGTCCGGGGTGCCTTGAGGCTGTGCCCCCTGGGCTGGCTTTGATCTTGGCTTTGCTTCTTTCAGGCCCCCACGCCAGCAGGCTCCTCTTCCCCATCTTACTGGCCACTTCTCCAAAGTGAGTTTTCTGTTATCAATTTAGTCATAGTTTCTGTTGCACAGAGATAGAAAGTAATATGCTGATCAGTATCAGTTTATCCTCCCATTATGTTTTAAATCTAAGAATGTAATGTATGTGTATTATAAAGTCATTCAAATTTTAACAAAAGTATGTAAATTTCAAGCCTCACAGCTAGTCTGCCTCTTTGGAGATGGCCATTGTTAGCCTTTGTGTGTCCTTTCTCTCTTGTTTTATATGTGCGTATGCAGCACACACACGTGTGTCTGTCTGTCTGTGTGTGGGTATATAGACACTTCCAAAGAAAGCCCATTTATGCTCTGCACCTGCTGTTTCACTTCATCTCTTATGGGCCCTTCCAGTGTCACAAGCCGCTCAACCCTTTCCTTTTAGTGCCTCTTTAGGAGTCATTTGTCTTGCCCATCTCAGAACACACACCCCTGTCCTAGCTGTCACCCCTCTTCACCTCCTCTTGCCCTCTTGGCCTGCCGATCCTCTAGATCAGCCCAGCCTTCAGCACATGGATGTCCCTGGAGCCCCTGCTTTGGTGCTGAGCACTGTGGAGGGCTGTCTCACCTTCAGTCCTCATGGCAGCCTAGTGTGGCTGTCTCTTTGGGCAGGGAAGGGAACTGAGGTGTTTTGTGGCAAACAGTTGGCCTCCCATTCCTTGGTCAGGCTTACCTTGATGTGGGGAGGGCTTTTGGTCCTCGGGCATTATATAGCCTCCCCAGGGATGGCTCTCCCCCATGAGATAGGGGCCAAAGCTTGCCTCTGTGTCACAGGATGCTTCACTGTGAAACTCCAGTCACAAATCAACAGTACAGAGTTGAGCTCTGAGAGATGCTGTTCCTGAAAGAAACGGTGCATGGTCTTCCATTGCTGTGGAAGGATACAGGGGAAGTGGGTTTCCCTGGCTGCCTCTAGGCCCCCTGCCTGGTTCTGCAGTAGCCTGTCTGCATGTTTTTACCATGTCCATGTACAGTTGACCCTTAAATAGCATGGGCTTGAACTGCATGAGTCCACTTGTACGTGGATTTGTTTTTTAAAGATTTTATTTATTTGAGAGAGAGAGTGACAGAGAGAGCACACAAGCAGGGTCAGAGGGAGAGGGAGAAGCAGACTCCTCACTTAGCAGGGAGCCTGATGTGGGGCTCCACCCTGGGATCCCGGGATCATGACCTGAGGGGAAGGCAGACACTTAACTGACTGAGCCATCCAGGCACCCTAGATTTTTTTTTTTTTTTTAAGATTTCATTTATTTATTTGACAGAGAGAGACACAGCGAGAGAGGGAACACAAGCAGGGGGAGTGGGAGAGGGAGAAGCAGGCTTCCCGCGGAGCAGGGCGCCCGATGCGGGGCTCGATCCCAGGACCCTGGGATCATGACCTGAGCCGAAGGCAGACGCTTAACGACTGAGCCACCCAGGCGCGCCCCCCCCCCTTTTTTTTATAAATATAATACAGTAATGTATTTTCTTTTCTCTCTTTTTTCTTTTTTTAAGATTTTATTTATATATTTGAGAGAGAGAGAGCGAGAGAGAGAATGAGCGGGCTGAGGGTCAGAGGGAGAAGCAGACTCCCTGCTGAGCAGGGAGCCTGACATGGGACTCGATCCCAGGACTCCAGGATCATGACCTGAGCTGAAGGCAGACGCTTAACTGACTGAGCCACCCAGGCTCCCCTGTAATGTATTTTCTTTGTGCTTTTAATAACATTTTCTTTTTTTCCTAGCTTTATTATAAAAATACAGTGTATAATACATATAACATACAAAGTATGTGTTAATTGACTGCTTATTTTATCGGTAAAGCTTCCAGTCAACAGTAAGTTATTAGTAGTCAGAAGTTATAAGTGGATCTTCAGTTGCTTGGGGGGGGGTCCCCTAACTCTGTGTTGTTCAAAGGTCAGTTCTTACCTCTAGCAAAACAAGCAAACAAAACAACACAAAGCAAAAACTGTGAGTTTTGATATCCTTAATTATATTGTTTAGGGTCTCTGCAAGCTCAGAGCCATGAAAATGCATTTCTTGTAACTGGACAGCTTCTTGTTTTCCTCCTTGGCGGCCTGAAAGCTCAGAGTTCAGTTTTATGAACAGTTGTTATAAATTCCTGTACCCAGCCACAATGTTTTGAGGCCCCCCCCCCCCGCCCCCCGCAACCTGTTAATTTCTGATTTCTGCCTTTGGTCTGACATCAGCTTGTTGTGTCTTGTGTTACCCTGGATCCTTCAGGAGGCGGGCTGAAGTAGTTGACTTAGAACAGTATGGCCATTGGGAGGCATTGTTATAAAGTGGTAGTGGGTTTTCAGAGGCTTGCCGCATTACTGAGGCTGAAGTTAATTTAGTCCATGGGGCCAGAATTCATCCAGTGGGAAGTGAGCTCTGTGGCCAAATGAGGGAGATTTATTAATGGTCTTTGACAGGATTATCCAAGCCTGTCTACATTCCCACCAGTAAACGTTTTCTCCCCATTTTACAGCAGGTCAGGGCCAGGGCAGCAGCGGCACTGGAATCAGCCGGCACAGGGCGGGAAAACACATATTCTTTAGCTATGTCTGGAGAGAGGGATGCAGATAGAGCCTCCTCCGTTTCTGGCCAGAAGATCCCTCTGCAGAGGCCGCCCAGTGCAAGCCAGCGCCACAGCACCGAGGGGGACCGCGAGGCTATCAACCTGCAGGTGAAGCTTGAGATGTTGTGGTGCTTCGAAGCTGGAGAGAAGCGTAGCAGAATCGGGAAGGTGTTGGGGCTGTCCGCCTCCACTGTGGCCACCATTTGTGACAACAAGGAGAAGATCCAAGCGAGTTCCCAGCGGCCACCAGATTGACGCGCAGCCGCAGCCTGGCGGTGGAGAAGATGGAGCGGCTGCTAAGCGTGTGGACCGAGGACCAGAACCAGCGCAACGCGCCCATCAGTGTCATCCTCGTCCCGGAGAAGCCTCGCAGCCTGTCTGAGGACCTCAGGTGGGAGCAGGGTGAGGGTGCCCCATCGGAGGCCTTCGGGGCTAGTTGAGGGTGCCTGGCCTTGGGGTGGGTGTCGAGGCTGTGGGCCCAACTGCGGCAGCCGTGCGCAAGTACCCCGCGTTGTGCGGAGAGTGATCCAGGAGGGCGGGTACCACCCCGGCTGGTGTTCAGCGTGGATGAGACTGGGCTTTCTGGAAGCGACTGCCTGCCAGGATGCTCCTCTCCCTGGAGGAGAAGTCAGCCCGAGATCTCCTGACGCCGCGGCTTGCTGGCAGTGCGGCCGGCAGCTTCAAGGTGAAGCTGCTGCTGCTGTATCCCTCGGAGAACCTGCATGCCCTCAGGGGCTGCTCCAGGCCCAACCTGCCCGTGGTGTGGCGTTCACACACGGAGGCCTGGTGACCACGAGCATCCTCCAGGAGTGGTTTGTGCCCTTCTGCCCAGCTGTGGAGAGGGACTGTGCCCGGTACGGCCTCCCGTACGAAGCCCTGCTCATCCTGGACCGTGCCCCTGGCCACCCTGGGAGCCTGGATGACCTCTCAGACCACGTGCGTGTGCTGTACCTGCCCAAGAAAACCGTGGCCCTCGTCTAGCCCATGAACCAGGGCATTGTTGCCACCTTCAAGGCCTTCTACCCACGGACGGTCTTCCGCCTGTTGGCGTTGCGGGTGGGAGGCAGGGACCAGCAGTCGGTGGTCCTTGACTTCTGGTGAGACTACAGCATTCTTTTTGTTTGTTTGTTTGTTTATTTATTTGACAGAGAGAGACACAGCGAGAGAGGGAACACAAGCAGGGGGAGTGGGAGAGGGAGAAGGAGGCTTCCCGCTGAGCAGGGAGCCCGATGCGGGGCTCGATCCCAGGACCCTGGGACCATGACCTGAGCCGAAGGCAGACGCTTAACGACTGAGCCACCCAGGCACCCCTGCTACATCTTTCTCAATGAGCCACATCCCTACCCCTTTAAATATGCATAATATAATATAAGACAATTGTACTTAAAGCTATTTTTAAAAAAAATTTTTTTAAAGACTTTATTTATTTTTCAACAGAGAGAGACAGTGAGAGAGGGAACACAAGCAGGGGGAGTGGGAGAGGGAGAAGCAGGGAGCCCAATGCGGGGCTCGATCCCAGGACCCTGGGATCCTGACCTGAGCCGAAGGCAGATGCTTAACGACTGAGCCACCCAGGCGCCCCGAGACTGCAGCATTCTTGACACTGCCTACAACATCTCTGAGTCCTGGGAGGAGGTCCCGCCAGCTACCCTGAATGGGGGGTGGAGGAAGCTGTGGCGCGAGGGCATCCAGCAGGATGCCAACAGGCTGCATGTAGCAACTCTGCCGCAGATCCTGCAGGACATCCTGGCACTGGCCCATGGTGTGGGTTTTAGAGAGGTGACCGAGGCAGATGAGGTGGAGCTGCTGCAGAGCCCCGGGCGGGCTCTCCAATGAGGAGCTGATGGGACCAGAGAGGGGCATGTGACTGCAGAGGAGGGTGAGGATGGCGCGCCCAGCTCACCGCCAGACACCGGGCCATGGCTTTGGCACACTGTGATGCTGGCCTGCAGATCATCAGTGGCGATGACCCCAACCTGGAGTGCAGCCTCAGAGTCTGCCGGGCCATAAACAACATCGTCAGCTGCTATCGGGAGGCTTTCAAGGAGAAGAGAGGCCCCAAGTAGTGGTGGTGGTGCTGGTGGCAGGGGCTTGGGAGCTCCGGGCACACAGGACTCTGTCAGGGAGAGGGCTTCCTCATGACTCCCTTTGTTCATGTTGAAGTTGCAATGGCCTGAATTTTTCCATTTCATTGTGTTAATTCCCCAAATGATTTTTATCAGCAAATAATTTCTTATCCCAAGTGAACTTCTCAAATACATGGTTTTAAAAGCCGTGATGAATTCTCAAGTGTGATTTGTGTGTGTGTGTGTGTGTGTGTGTCCTGGGCCCTTTGGAGGAAAGCGTACCAAGTTTCTTAATGGAAGTCTTTGACAAAGCCCAGCTCACTGTGCAGCATGCCCAGCAGTGTTCCTGTGCTTGTGAGCTCTCCCTCTGTTTAGTGTGGGACTCTTGGAGCTGTGTGGACATTCAGTCAGGAGAGGGGTTTTGCTTGGTTTCTGGTCATCTCATCTCTCAGCTGGGCTTTAGGCCCTGCAGACAGAAAAGGCTGACCCCAGATGAGCCTCCAAAGGGACCCAGTGATACGGAGAGTAGGTTTGGGTGGGAGGAGTGCCTGGCCACACACCCCCGTGCTCTGTTCCTCTGGGGCCTTGGGTGCTAATTGTCAACCTGTCCTGTTCTCTGGAATGGTGTTGTGTCCCCACTGACTGGCTAGGGAGAGAGGAGAGACTTCAACCCCTGGTGGGTGAGCTTGGGAGGCAGCATACTCACCAGGCCTCCCAGCCCCTAGCAAGGGGCATCCTCATGGCTGCAGGTTTCTCTTGGCCAAAACTGGATGCTAATTCCTTTCTTCTCGTTTCCTTTCTTCTCGTCTCCTCCCCTGCTCTCTCTGCCTTGCACTCCCTTTGTTTACTGGTTTCCATTTGACTTCTGCCATGCCCCTTTGACTTCTCCCTGTGGACACGGCTTATTCCAGACAGGGGTGGCATTTGGAGAAAGGCCCCGGATCCCACGAGGGAAGACTGGGGGCCACCCAGTGCCCTGCAGAAGGCAGCCTTCGGGGATGTGAGCTGTTTGGGTAAGGATGTGGATTTTGGGGAGCAGGTTGGCCTTATTGCCGGACACATAGGCCTTCAGGTGAGTGGTCTGTTTCCAGCCATGGATTCCTGCTGAAGAAAGCCTTCACCTGAGCCTACCCTCTTTCCACAGGAGTGGGGAGAGGGAGGGCTAGCTTAGGGGATTGGTTATTGTTTAAATTTGACCTGAAGGTTTTGCTTTGGGGCCAAGATGCCCACACATCTCCCATCTGCCTTCTGTACACACCTGCGCACACCTGGCTGAGATATGCCCAGACTTGACCTCAAATTACATGCAGGAAATGAGTACTACCTGCTGGCTGGACCTGTTGCACCCAAGCAGACTCTTCTGCCCTAGTGGTGGGGCCAGCTCTGGCATCTCCTGGGAGTGGCCACCGTGGGTGTATCTTGGGATCCCAGGGTTGCTGGTCAGCTTCTCCCATTTGGGTGCCTGCACCACTTAATGTAGAATCAGAGTCGGATCAGAGCCTGACTTTAAACACCCTTGGGGACATTAATCAGGTAAGGGAAGAGTCACTTGTTATTAGTTGGCCATGGGGCATGTGGCCCATCTCCATTTGGGAGTCCAAGCCTGCTGGTCAGTGAGTGCCCAGCTGCCCTGGCAGGGGGACCTGGGCGAGTGTTTTCAGTAAACTGTACCTGCTCTAGTTTCCAGCCAGTACAGCTCCTCACCTTTGTCTCAGTTCCCAGCTGCATCCAGGGAGGATCTTGGGTGTGATGCCAAACAACAGTTTTATCACTGTTTTAACCTTTTACTGTCTAAAAAGAGAGAAGACAATTCCATGTATTTCAAGTGACAAATATAGCGAGCTAGTCGAACAAGTGAAGCATACCAAACCAGAAAAGAGGAATCTACCCTCTCTCTCTGCCAACTGAAGCGATTTCTCATTTGCCTTGGGAATGAGGAAATGCTAATTGTCCCCCTGTCAGAAGGCAACTCGAGCTTTTGCTACTATGTCAAAAATGATCACATGTAGGATGTGCTGCATGAGCCCATGTTAGCATTGTGCATGGAGCCTAGGATGCTGGCAGAGCTGAAGAGATACAAGAATGTGACGCAGGAAGCCATACTCCTGTGCTTGAAGCTATGCAAACCCTGCCAGCGTTAAGTTGCATCCTGTAGAGAAAGGTATGTTGTTGAAGACTGATGTTTGTGGAGACGAGGAGCTGGTGCCAGGTGGACCTTATTGACATGCAGTCTCAGGCTGGTGGACCGTTCAAATTCATCATGGTCTACCGGGGTCACACCCCCAAATTTGTCTAGTAGAGGCCTCTGGCCAGCAAAAGTGCTATGGACATGGCCAGATGTCTGCTAGGTATATTCTGTATCTTTTTTTTTTTTTTAAGATTTTATTTACTTAGAGCATGTGAGCCAGGGGAGGGGCAGAGGGGGAGAGAGAGAGAGAAGCAGACTTCCCACTGAGCGCAGAGCCCTATGCAGGGCTCAATCTCACAGCCCTGAGATCATGACCTGAACTGAAACCAAGAGCAGATGCTTAACCGATGAGCCACCCAGGCACCCCAAATCTTCTGCATCTTTGGGGCCCTTTCTAGTCTCTAGTCTGAAATGGAAGATACTTTGCAAATGAGGTAAATGGTGTGTGGAAAGGCACGTGGAGTGGCTTAAAGATTGTGACCAGGAAGCAACATCTGAGCCAGAGCCCAGGCAGCGTGGAGCAGGGCCACCAAGACATCCAGAACTTTGTGACTTGGTAGAGGGGACCAGCGCATGGCCCTTGGTGCTGCACTTTGTCCAAGTGATGAAGAACAGAATTTTGTTATTTTAGTTATTTTTTTGTTTTTAAAGATTTTATTATTTTTATTTTTTAAGGATTTTATTTATTTGACAGAGCACGGGAGAAGCAGAGGGAGAGGGAGAAGCAGACTCCCTGCTGAGCAGGGAGCCTGACGCGGGGCTCGATCCCAGGACCCTTGGATAATGACCTGAGCTGAAGGCAGATGCTTAACCAAATGAGGCACCCAGGTATCCCTGGTGTTTGGCTTCTACCTTCTTGCTTTTCAAAAATATCTGTTGGTATTCCAAGAAATGATTGGAAAATGCTAACTCAGGCAAAGGTTTTCTTTTTTTTGGTTGTTTAAATTTTTATTTAAATTCCAGTTAGTTAGGAGTGCCTGGGTGTCTCAGTCAGTTGAGTGTCCAACTCTTGATTTCTGCTCAGGTCATGATCTCAGGGTCGTGAGACCGAGCCCGCTCTGCGCTGAGTGTGGAGCCTGCTTAAGATTCTCTCTCTCCTTCTCCCTCTGACCCTTGCCTCCCATCCTCCTGAATCACTGAATTCTACTCCAGAAACCAATAATGCTCTGTATGTTAACTACCTAAAATTTAAATAATAAGCCATAACTTAAAAATACATTGGAAGCCAATAAACATCTTTACTAAACATGACACTTTGACCTAAATCTAAATCTAAACTTCAAAAAAATAATAAATTCCAGTTAGTTAACATACAGTGTAATATTAGTTATTAATTTCAGGTGTACAATATAGTGATTCAGTACTTCTATACAACGCCCGGGGCTCATCACAGGTGCACTTCTTAATCCCCAATCATCAGGTTGTTCTGTATGGTTAAGAGTCTGGTTTTTGGATTACCTCTCTCTCTTCTTTCCCCCCTTGCTCATTTGTTTTGTTTCTTAAATTGCACATATGAGTGAAATCATATGGTATTTGTCTTTCTCTGACTGACTTAATTCACTTAGCATAATACTCTCTAGCTCCATCCATGTCCTTGAAAATGGCAAGATTTCATTCTTTTTTTTTTTTTTTTAAAGATTTTATTTATTTGACAGAGAGAGAGACAGTGAGAGAGGGAACACAAGCAGGGGGAGTGAGAGAGGGAGAAGCAGGCTCCTGGCTGAGCAGGGAGCCCGATGCGGGGCTCGATCCCAGGACCCTGGGATCATGACCTGAGCCGAAGGCAGACACTTAATGACGGAGCCACCCAGGTGCCCTGAGATTTCATTCTTTTTAATGGCTGAGTAATATTACATTGTATCTAGATACCATATCTTCTTTATCCATTCATCTGTTGATGGACATCTGGGCTGTTTCCATAATTTGGCTATTGCAGATAATGCTAAAATAAACATCAGGGTGCATGTATCCCTTTGGATTGGTATTTTTGTATTCTTTGGGTAAATACCTAGTAGTGCAATTGCTGAATCTTAGGGTAGCTCTATTTTTAACTTTCTGAGGAACCGCCATATGTTATCAGGGAGTGGGTTCCTGTTGGAGCACAATGCTCTATCGGCCCAAACAAATATTAGACAAACCTGGAAACCTTTTCTTCCCCTGGAATATTAGACAAACCTGGAAACCTTTTCTTCCCCTGGAGGAAGCATGCAAGATGGAGGTTTGAGGATGGATCCATTAAAATGTAGAATTCAGGGCGCCTAGGTAGCTCAGTTGGTTGAGCAACTGACTTTTTTTTAAAGATTTATTTGAGAGAGAGAGCACGATCGGGAGGGGCAGAGGGAGAGGGAGGGAGAGAGAAAGAGAGAGAGAGAGAGAGAAGCCAGGCAGACTCCCTGATGAGCACGGAGCCCAACACAAGGCTCCATCTCATGAGCCTGAGATCAAGACCTGAGCCGAAATCAAGAGTCAGATGCTTATCTAACTGTGCCACCCAGGCACCCTGAGCAAATGACATTAAATCATTAAGCAGACAGTGGGGAGACTGGGCTGCTGCCCCCAAAGCCATTGGATATTCCTTTTCCAAAAGCAAAAGGTCTAGGTTACAGGGAGGGGGATATTGGCTCCTGTGAATCAGGCTCTAGTTGGGGCTTGGGCCCTGGGATTGGGAAAAGGGAATGGGGCAGACTTTATAAGCATATGCTAGGTATCCGATAGTCCTGTAGAATGTAGTGAAGAAACCTCATACAGTTTTTAATTTTTATATAAACTAACTCAGACCCAAGCTACAAGGTTGGAATTTTGGTTGTTGGGTTTTTTTTTTTTTTTTTTTTTAAGTACCCCGCCTGTATAATTGCACCTGAATTCCCTCCTCTCCCCGCACCCCCCACCTCCCTCCCCCCATGTTTTTATTTTGGGTTGGTTTACACTTGTACATTTCCAATTTCCAGTTTTTCCTTTTTATAGTCTTCTCCCTTCACCTCCAGGACCCTCCCCCTTTTTAAAAAATAAATTGCTGACAAGTGTGAATGCCGTGAAGACTTTATTTTGTGTTGTGTGTATCCTGTACAGCAAGGTTGGTCCTTCGTAACAACGGATGAAATTATTTCCTTTTTTAAAGCGCCCCCTCTCTCTCCACCCCCAACGCCCTGTCCTTGGCATGTTTTGTATCAGCGATCATTCTGAACTATACATAATTTATGTTGCAAGAGGCAAAGGGCAAGTTTTGGATTTTGCTTCTTTCAAGTTGGTTTTTAAACGACAAATTAAAAAAGAACATTTTAAATACAAAAAAACCCCCACCTCTCTGCTCTTTTTCTTTCTCAAATGGATAGATAAAATCTTTTTAAAAAACGGAAGTGCAGGGATGGGAAAGCATTTATTTTTTTATTTTACTTTTTAAAAAAATATTTTATTTATGTATTTGACAGAGACAGAGAGCAAGAGCAGGAGCACAAGTAGGGGGAGTGGGAGAGGGAGAAGCAGGTTTCCCGCCAAGCAGGGAGCCCGATGTGGGGGCTCGATGTGGGGCTCCATCCCAGGATACTGGGATCATGACCTGAGCCAAAGGCAGATGCTTAATGACTGAGCCACCCAGGTGCCCTGATGGGAAAGCATTTAACATGCAAATGGAAGTAAAAAGAAAGCTGGGGTAGCAATACTTCTATCAGACAAAAAAAGACTATTCTATCAGACAAAAAAGACATTTATTTATTTATTTATTTATTTATTTATTTATTTATTTATTTATTTATTTTTGGTAAAGTAGGTCCCAATGTGGGCCTTGAACTCATGACCCTGAGATCAAGACCTGAGCTAAAATCAAGAGTCAGCACTTAACCCACTGAGCCACCCAGGCACCCCCAAACAAAATAGACTTTAAAAAAAGACTGTAGTCTCTTCAATAAGTGGTGCTGGGAAAATTGGACAGCCACATGCAGAAAAATGATACTCGACCATTCTCTAACACCATACACAAAGATAAACTCAGAATGGATGAAAGACCTCAATGTGAGACAGGAATCTATCAAAATCCTAGAGGAGAACACAGGTAGTAACCTCTTTGACATCAGCCAAAGCAACTTCTTTCACGATACATCTCCAAAGGCTAGTGAAGCAAAAGCAAAAATGAACTTTTGGGACTTCATCAAGATAAAAAGCTTCTACACAGCAAAGGAAACAGTCCACAAAACAAAGAGGCGACCCACAGAATGGGAGAAGATATTTGTAAATGACACTATGGATAAAGGGCTGGTATCCAAGATCTATAAAGAACTTCTCAAACTCAACTCCCAAAAGACAAATAATCAACTCAAAAAATGGGCAGAAGACAGGAACAGACACTTCTCCGAAGAAGACATACAAATGACTAACAGACACATGAAAAAATGTTCATCATCATTAACCCATCAGGGAAATTCAAATCAAAACCATATTGAGGGGGCGCCTGGGTGGCTCAGTCGTTAAGCATCTGCCTTCGGCTCAGGTCATGATCCCAGGGTCCTGGGATCGAGCCCTGCATCGGGCTCCCTGCTCTGTGGGAAGCCTGCTTCTCCCTCTCCCACTCCCCCTGCTTGTGTTCCCTCTCTCGCTGTGTCTCTCTCTGTCAAATAAATTAAAAAAATCTTAAAAAAAAAACAAACAACAAACCATATTGAGATACCACCTTACACCAGTTAGAATGGCAAAAATTGACAAGGCAAGAAACAACAAATGTTGGAGAGGTTGTGGAGAAAGGGGAACCCTCTTACACTGTTGGTGGGAATGCAAGTTGGTACAGCCACTTTGGAAAACAGTGTGGAGGTGCCTCAAAAAATTAAAAATAGAGGGGCACCTGGGTGGCTCAGTCATTAAGCGTCTGCCTTTGGCTCAGGTCATGATCCCAGGGTCCTGAGATCGAGCCCCGCATCGGGCTCCCTGCTCAGCGGGAAGCCTGCTTCTCCCTCTCCCACTCTCCCTGCTTGTGTTCCCTCTCTCACTGTGTCTCTCTCTGTCGAATAAATAAATAAAATCTTGGGGTACCTGGGTGGCTCAGTTGGTTAAGCGACTGCCTTCGGCTCAGGTCATGATCCTGGAGTCCCTGGATCGAGTCCCGCATCGGGTCGGCAGGGAGCCTGCTTCTCCCTCTGACCCTCCCCCCTCTCATGTGCTCTCTCTCTCATTTTGTCTCAAAAAAAAAAAAAAAAACTTAAAAAAAAAATCTTAAAAAAAAAAAAATAGAGCTACCCTATGACCCAGCAATTGCACTAGTGGGTATTTACCCCAAAGACACAGATGTAGTGAAAAGAAGGGCCATATGCACTCCAGTGTTCATAGCAGCAGTGTCCGCAATAGCCAAACTGTGGAAAGAGCCAAGATGTCCTTCAACAGACGAATGGATAAAGAAGATGTGGTCCCTATATACAATGGAATATTACTCAGCCTTCAGAAAGGATGAATACCCAACTTTTGCATCAACATGGATGGGACTGGAGGAGATTATGCTAAGTGAAATAAGTCAAGCAGAGAAAGTCAATTATCATATGATTTAATTATTCATGGAACATAAGAAATAGCATGGAGGACATTAGGAGAAGGAAGGGAAAAATGAAGGGGGGAAATTGGAGGGAGAGATGAACCATGAGAGACTATGGACTCTGAGAAACAATCTGAGGCTTTTAGAGGGGAGGGGGTGGGGGAATGGGTTAGCCTGGTGATGGGTATTAAGGAGGGCACATACAGCACGGAGCACTGGGTGTTATATGAAAACAATGAATCGTGGATCACTACATAAAAAACTAATGATGTGTTGTGTGGTGACTAACATAACATAAAAAAAAAAAAAAAGAATAGGCACTTCCTTAACTTACTTAATACCAGGTTAGTGACTGAAGGGGCCAATGATATTATAAATAAAGTGGCACAGCTGGGATTACTTCTTAAGATAGAACTGCATGATTCCTTCTAATTCTCTTTTTCTTTATGAAGTGGAGATAATTCTGGAAGTTCTCAAAAAATAAACACACCTGTAAGTTCCTTAAAAAAAAAAAAAGACTAACATGAGACAAAGAAGGGCACTATATAATCATAAAGGGAACAGTCCAACAAGAATATATAATTGCAGGGGTGCCTGGATGGCTCAGTTGTTAAGCGTCTGCCTTTGGCTCAGGTCATGATCCCAGGTTCCTGGGATCGAGCCCCGCATTGGGCTCCTTGCTCAGTGGGAAGCCTGCTTCTCCCACTCCCACTCCCACTCCCCTTTCTTGTGTTCCCTCTCCACTGTGTCTCTCTCTCTCAAATAAATAAATAAAATCTTTTTTCTAAAGATTTTATTTATTTATTTGAGAGAGAGAGAATGAGAGACAGAGAGCATGAGAGGGAGGAGAGTCAGAGGGAGAAGCAGACTCCCCGCTAAGCAGGGAGCCTGATGTGGGACTCGATCCCGGGACTCTAGGATCATGACCTGAGCCGAAGGCAGTCGCTTAACCAACTGAGCCACCCAGGCGCCCAAATAAAATCTTTTTAAAAAAAGAATATGTAACAATTGCAAATATTTATGCACCCAACATGGGAGCACCCAGATACATAAAGCAGATAATAACAAACATAAAGGAAGTAAGCAATAGTAATATGGTAATAGTAGGTGACTTTAACACCCCAGTTACAGCAATGGATAGATCATACAAATAAAATCAACAAGGAAACAGTGGCTTTGACACATAGGTACAGATGGATCTAACATATATTCAGAACATTGCATCCTGAAACAGTGGAATACACAATTGTTTCAACTGCACATGGAACACTCTCCAGAATAGATCACGTTAGGCCTCAAAACAAGTCTCAAGAAATTAAAAAAGACTGAAGTCATACCATGCATCTTTTCTGATCACAACACTATGAAAGTAGAAAACAACCACAAGAAAAAATCCAGGAAGAACACAAATACATGGAGGTTAAGGAACATGCTACTGAACAATGAATGGGTCAACCAAGAAATCAAAGAGGAAATAAAAATATATGAGGACAAATGAAAATGAAAACACAACAGTCCCAAATCTTTGGGATGCAGTAGAGCTGTCCTAAGAGGGAATTTTACAGCAAATACAGGCCTACCTCAAGAAGCAAGAAAAAATCTCAAATAAACGACCTAACTTTACACCTAAAGGAGCAAGAAAAAGAAAAACAAACAAAACCCCAATCTGGTAGAAGGAAGGAAATAATAAAGATTAGAGCAGAAATAAATAGAAACTAAAAAAGAATAGAACAGATCAATTAAACCAGGAGCTGGTTCTTCGAAAAGATAAAAAAAATTGATAAACCTCTAGTCAGACTCATCCAAAGAAAGGGGGGGGGGTCTCA